GTCAAATCAACGTAAAAAAAAAATATATTCCAGAGCATCTTGCTGTAAAAAATGTTTCCTTTTAATATAAGAGAGAAACAACAACAAAATAATATATATGAAAAAGCATCAGGGTTCGCTTTATGCTGCATATGTACAAAAAGTCCTGAAGCTACAAGTCCATCTGTCTCGCGTCAGCTCATGCCAGCCGACAATCGCCGCTTCGCCCACCCATCGGCGCTCTTCTCCCAATGTCTTTGTGTGTGTGGAAATGAATCACGATTAGCAACAAGCGACCTCAGTTAAGTGTGGTCAAGGTTACACCACGACGGGCTTGATCGTCACTGGCCAGATTAGTGCAACACAAAAGGTGGACTGAAGGACTATGCGCTTGAGCTACACGTGCTGGTGGAGGAGATAAAAGTGCTTGCTTGGGAGCTTGGGTTGGTCACCTGCGAGGTTGCTGCTCTATCAAAAGTCCCAAAGCAGATGTAGGGTACCAGCGCGCACGCACGTAACACGCAGCTCAGCTGGATACGTGGAAGCGCAATCGCCACGTGAATCAGGGGTGTCCAAAATGGGGCCTGACGTCTATGTTTTTAGCAGTCTTTTTGCTTTGTGGCGCCCCACTAAATCAAGTTGCAGCGATGTCTTGAGAGACAAGTTCAATTCGCGGCATGACCGCAGTCGTAACACAAAATACTTTTATATCATCTTTTCCCACTGAAATGAATGGAAATACCATTGATCCGGTCTAGCGTTCACCCAAAAACACCAAAAAGTTGTCATGTGGATTTTAATGAGGGAGACTAGCAGTGCTTGAGAAAAATACAGATGACATGAGTCATATAACAAAAATCACCGGCATATACTCTTTATCTTCTGCCAGGATCGCCTAATTTGATTGCGGCTAACTGTGAAGCTATGCCCGCCTCCATGTATATTTGCTGTCTGTATTACACTCCCCCCAAGTGGCCATTGGGCGCACAAGGATCAGCACAGTGTCCATGGAATTGGAGCAAAAAATGAGGCCAAAAAAATGGTTTCATGATTTAAATTCTATTTCAGGATGGCATTGCTGGTGGCTTTATAAAGTACAAATATGATAGGTTGCTATTTTTCTGACTAATAAACACATTACAAATTGATGCCGTTCCCATTCATTTTAATTGGCGAAAGATGATTTGAGAAGTGTTTTGCACTCAAGCGTGGACACGGAACGAATTAAACTCATAGGCTTATCTAATTTAAAAAAGTGCTTTGCCACGATATAGTGCCGTTGAAAGGCAATAACAAACTTTTTAGTTAGTTTAGTTTAGCGGTCCATTCGTCACCGACATTCGCTGTTCCTTCTCCCGTTGACACTTTTGCCTTTAGTGTCTTGAATAAATTAAGATGAAGAATAACAAAATGGCCTCGTATCTTATGTTGTGTCTGTATGCACCCCGTGGGTGATTGAAGTTTTGGACACCCCGGGTGAACGCATATGCCGGTGGAAGAGCTGTAAAAGTGCTTGCTTTGGAAAGTCATCGCCTGGGTTCCTCGTCTATCTTGGTGACAAGTGGTATGAGCGCATGCGCGCACGCGCACACACACACACACACACACACACACACACACAGAAACACACACACACACAGAAACACACACGCCACACACACGACGCTTAGAGGGGTTCATTCAAGCGAGTGGGAAGCGCAATCACAGTGCAGATGAAGGTCCGAGGATCGTGAAGAATCGCGAGAATCGAGCACACAACTCCTCACGCGCGCAATGGTACCGCACTGGAGGAAACACGACTAACACAACTCTGTTGCGTACAAAAGACAAAGAAGGGCCAGAACAGTTCAGCGGATGAGGACCATGAAGATGATGATGATAATGGGAGGCGTTTTCAATCCCTGACGTCTCATTACTCTCATCGGGCAACGGCCCTCAAACACCAGTTTTGGGAAAACGGAACAATGGCTTTTAAATCGTGTGTGTATAGAAAATGTCGATGTAGAAAATGAAAAAAAAAACAACGTATCGTTACGCAGTGCAATGTAGTGCAATTTGATTCAGATCAGTATAGCTTTCCTTTTTCTTATGTTCTTATCGTTGGCACTTTTGTGAGGTTTCTGTCCGTTACGAGGTCAGCCAATCACAGGGCAAGAGAGGGTTAGCTTATCACTTTACTGGAGTTTAAAAAAAAAAAAAAAAGGAGAAACATGGAAACTGACAAGATACTATGCATACACTTGGGCAATCCTCAAGAAAGGGGAAGTTTCCAAGGCAACGGAGGACAAAGGTCACAAGTGCACCCGCTGTGATAGCCTGTATGTTTGTCACGTTTCCGTGACGATGGATGGAGGGCTGCGCAGACGAGACGCATTCGAATCTGTACTGAAAAAAAATGTTCGGAAAAATGGATCCTCTGTCCCTGCGCCGGGTTTCTAATGTATAAAAATTTAAAACACAACTTAGTCAAGTAAAAGAACGACGACTATATAGCTTGCTAAAGAGGGGAAATGTCAAGCAAGAGCTTCTTGGGCATTTGAATGGAGGAATTCTACAATAATTAGCAAAACATGTCACTCTTTAGGGAACAAAAACACCGAACAAACTACATGATGAGCGAGGGTTTAGTCTACTTTCATCACTAAAATCACCAATGACGGTCATTTAGCTTCATTTAGCAAAACACAAAGCTGCCGGTTGCGTGAATCGAAATGTCTTGATTGTCACTGGCTATCATTCTCCTCAGCTCTCTCGCGTGTCTTGGACGAATTCAAAATGGGTTTGTGATTAAGTGAAGCAATTCCCCTCACTAACTCATCTAAAAAATTCAATCAGCAAGTTTAAATCTGGGAATGAAAAAAAGCAAACAAACAAACAAACAAGCAAACTGAGAACTACCTTCAGCTTATTATAAATCACGTCAAAGCTGCATTTCAAATGTATTTTGATGACGAGTGTCCGAACGTTGTCCAACCCATCGTAGGATCACTTGAAGGATTATAAACAACAAATGTTCCAGTGAGGTCAGGTGTGCTAATGCTAAAGCCTTCCACATTAAAGGCCTGCCCGACAAACAGGAAGTGATGGTGGGCTCACTGTGAACAGTGGATGTAAAAAGTCTAGACACCCCTGTTCAAATGCCAGGGTTTGCGATATGCAAAAATGAGACCAAGATAAAATCATGTATTTGTGACTTATAACTTGTACAACTTAATTGAAAGAGTAATTCAATATTTTTTAGGAAAAAAAGGGGAAAAAAGCGATAACGTGGTTGCGGCAAACATATCTTCTGAAATGATGGCCAACAACCTTGGTTTCATCGGGCCATAACATTTCCCAATGTTTCTTTTGAGTTGACTTGTACACAGAGATGAAAGTGGACTTTCCTGAAAATTCCGGAAAAAATAAAAAATTATATATACTGTGTGTGTGTGTATGTGTGTGTGTGTGTATATATATATATATATATATATATATATATATATATATATATATGTATCTTTTCTGTTCCAAGGATTTTTACTTGTTCATCTTCAATTGTGTGGTTTGTTTCTTTTAAGTGTGCGTATACTGCTTGTTTTTGCATTTGTGTTGACAGTCTTTTCTTGAGTGTTTGTTTGGTTTCTCCGATGTAATGTTCCTTGCACTCACTTTCTTGGCAACGGATGGAATAAATCAGATTGCATTTTTGGGTCTTGGGAACCCGGTCTTTGGGGTGTACTAGTTTTTGTCTCAATGTGTTTATCGGTTTAAAATAAACAGGAATATCATGTTGTAGAAATATTCTTTGTATTTTCTCTGAGAGGCCGGCAATATAAGATACACAGACACCCCTTCTCTTCTTTTCTCTCTGTTGGTTGGTTTCCTCTCTGTAAAGTGCCGCAGTCGATTCTTAAGGACGCACTGCTGCTGTGGTGAATGGCTCAATTTTCAACCCGTCAAAATGACGGACGGCCTTAAATTTTCCCCGTCCACTCTTAAAAAAAATCCATCAATGATGGAAAATTGTCCGCTAATGTAACCTCTACAGGAACAGAAATATAAAAGATGTAAATGTTTATCCAGTCTTGTTTAACTTAGATTTCGTTCCAAAAGACAGGCTTTGTTATCAGAAATCACCCCTCCTCCTCACAAATAAAATATGAAATCTCGGGTTTGCTTCGGGCTCGGGCCTGCAAATCAAGTTAAGTGATCGGGCTCATGCACCCTTTGTGGTTTCCGTTCTCGCCGAAATTTCGAAATCTCAGAGATATGGCGAGGCCATGAGAATGCGAGGCGAGGGTATTACTGTTGTGGCGACGCCACTCGAGCTAGTCCACTGCTCTCTACAATGCGTACGCAAGTGCGTCTTTTGATTTCAACCAATAAGCGCCGACGCAACGACGTCACGCACCAACGTCACACACAACAACAGCTAAGCTAAGCCAGCTGAGACGACACTCGAAGTCGGACGGACACGTTTTTCTGCCAATCTGTGTGTTTCCCTTTTTATCCAAATATATTTTTTACGACAACTATCTTGTCCACGGTGTCTTTTATTCGTTCCACTGGGGTTTAGCAAATGTGTTGATAAAGAGACGAAAATCTCAACTGTTACGAATGCTAGTGTCTCAACATGGCTACGCTCGTGAAAGCAAAACAACGAACTCAAACGCGTCTTCGTTCAATGTTGTCAACTAATATCCGGATTAATTTTAGGCAAATTTTCCTCAATTCTCCGGAGAGATTTTCATAAAAATGTGAAAAACCCGGAATTCCGGGAAAATCCGGAGGACTTTCATCTCTGTGATATAAGGTTTTGACTGCATTATCTTGCTCTCATTTTTCAGCACAATAACCTGCCATTTAAGCGTGGGTGTGTTGACTTTTTCCATCCAGGGTACGTGAGGTCAGTCGGGGTTGCGTGTAGGGGTTTGAAAGGGCAGTTAAGGACAATCCACGGTGACGACAAACGATCTCTTCTCAGAATCTCAAAACATCAGCTGTCAAATGAAACCCAAAGAAAAGCAGAGCCTTTCTGGCTGGGCTCACAACAATGACAACATGAAAGAAAGAAAGAAAGACAATAATTCAACGAGTTGTAATGCTGCCGATTGCACGGTGCAACTGCTAGTTGCTTCAGCACGCCCGTGCCGAAAATAAACTCTCTATATCAAATGCATATCCTCTCTCCCAGGCTTACAGTGATACTTGTAAAAGTCGACTCGCTTCTTCAAGGTGCATATCTTTAGGCGCAAGAGGAAGGGGAAATATATTTCTTATATTCTGTACATCTCTCAGGCATATTTTGGGAAAGTGAAAGGAAGGAATCCGTATTCTTTTTGTACCACGTGGTGTGAGGGTTTTGTGCATCATTGCAAAATGTGATGGTGTCTTGGCTGGCGGTCATGAAAGCCTGATTGAATGGACAGGCGCAAGACGAGCGCCACGTCGGTGTCCAACAACCACGATGAGACATGGCTGGAACTCAACCGGAGGTTTGGCCGTCTTTTTAACAGTGTGACGCTGATGTGCTCTGCAGGTTCGAGTACCCGTCCGCTGATCCGTCAACAATAGCTTACGCCACGCTGCTGCTAGTGTGACCAACTGAGTATATCAAAATATTTGTCGTTTTACACATTGGGTGGAAAAAAGTGAAAAATATCATCTGACAGTTCCCAATTCAAATAGAAGTTTCTGCCCTACACCCCCGTCCCCCATTATTTATCAACAGTGAGCGAGTGAAAAGTCTCTCAGTCTTAAGAAAAAAGTTTCAAAACCAGCAGAAGGTTCCTTTTTCTCAGTTTTTTTTTTTCTGTTTGGAAAGAGTAGAGAGCAAAGTCAAACCTCCCGCTGCTCTGCAGGACGGAGCACTGAGAAGCAGAAGAAGAAGAAGAAGAAGCCTGCTCCAGCCCCAAATAGCGGAGCTCGTCTTGCCGGCGAAGGGGGCGGGGCTACTAAAAGTGAGGGAGGGCTTTTAGTCGGTGAATCTCTGACAGGCCTTCTTCCAGCGACAGGCCGTGCACCACATCTCTTTCTTCTCCATGCCGTACACCTTTCGGCACTTCTTGGCCTCCCCACGGGGTTTCCTTAGCGACAGAACATAAGAAAGCATTAAGTGCACGCATATCGAGTACACTACAACCACACGCTCACCGCACATGTCTGATGAGTACTAAGGGTCACCACCAAATAGCTCAACAGTGATAGGGCATTGTGATTCCCTCGCAATGTTGCCCATGAAAATTGAAACACATGCGGACATTTCTGGTAACAGGTGTTGCATGCACGTATCTGTTAAATCATTGTTGATCACCCATGTGGGAAATCATTCAGATGAGCAGTGTCTTCACATACAGTAGATGGCTATCACTAGCCTTTAAGAATAACACGAGGAAAGGCCATTTGAGCAAATGTGTTCATTGAGAAGTGTGTATCAAACAGGTAGCCATTCATATTAATCCGTAGCCAAGCTCTCCTTCTTATAAAGGTTGGTGACCCATAATGGATAGAGTGCATGTTTGTATTGCACCGAGGAAAGTACCTGCCTGCTGGGCCATATACAACCCGCGCCATTTTTTTAAAATCGGGCCCACTAAGCATTTCAACTATGTGAATAATCTTTACAGCAATAACTAAATTCCTATAGTCATAATTATTGATTTATTGTTGATCAAATATGAATTAACAAAGGAAGTATGTGGGTAATGACAAGTTACTCCAATCAAACAACAGAGTTGATGATTGTTTTATTAATAACTTTGATATAACATGCAATCAACAATGTTTAACGGTGCATGTATTTAATGAAATATTGATTATTTTAAAATAAATTAGCTATAAATAAAAGATAAATAACACAACCATGATTTTTTATTAGTTTTTTTCGCCACACTTTGTGCATTGTAAAGAAAAATCAATCTGTAGTTTGAAATCCAAGACACAACAACAAAAGGAACATGTCGCCGTGTACCTGTTTCCTGCTGCAGATTTAGGCGTCGGCATGATTAAAGCCTGGTTCTTGTTACCGGTGCCATTTGTGCTGGATGCCGGCTGCCGCTTTTCCCCGATACTCACTGTACGCACGTGAGTCACCGCAGGCCCCTGCGCATACAACAAGACGTTAAGTACACTGCGGGCGTGCTGGAGCCTATCCCAGTGTTTATTTATTTATTTTTATTGAATTGATCAGTGTATTGATATCTACTGACCAGCCGGCTAAACAAGCCATCCCTCGGTTAGGGAAAAGCATCTCGTTTATACATTAAACACTTTTAATACCATCAAGTGTGATATATAAGGGGATAAAGCCTAGATGATAAAAGCAACAAGAGAGAGAAACAAAGGATAGGAAAAGGAAAAACAGAAGGACGCCTTCCACTTCGAAGCCGTGAGACCAAGTCTCACTCACCAGATGCTTCTGAAAATGGCTGGACGGGATCTGTCATGGCACACTGATGCCATTTCCTATCCGGAACACATTAATGTGTCCCGAGCCAGGTGGGTCCTGGCCTACTGGGAAAATTACAGGCACATTTGCCTGAGACATAACCACTGACCCACGCAGCCCAGAGAAGAAGGATGGACATGGAAGACCAGCAACGATGCAGCGGAAACAGAAAAGGGAGTTATCACTTCATTGGGAAGAAATCGCCAATATGCAATTTTGAAATGTGCCATCAAATTATCTGTCTGCTCCGAAACAAATACAGTATGTTTCGTGAAGCCACTTGCACATATCAACCTAATAATTCAGAAAGCGCAGATTTTATTTCAAAAAGTTCGGTTAAAGGGACACCGTGTATACATTTGTTGATTTTTCAATGTCTGTTATTAATTTCAATAGTGTGCAAAAAAGAAAAAAAGTTTCCATTACATCATCATTAAAAAATAAATAAATAAAAATGTTGTCGTGGGTGAAATAATTGCAAATTTCATTATGTAGGGCGTTCCTCCCCAACAGGAGGCGGCCATTTTGTGCCACCCTCGTTCCGCTGCGGATACCAGATGGAGACAAACTTTTAGTGAACGTAGTTCCTCAAAATCATGACTGGAGCATGTGTAACAAGTGACTTGCACTTACTCCGTCACGATAGGGGATAGTAGAAGCCGTTTGTGATGACATTTTGTAGACACCTCTGCTGAAGAAACCGTACGTAGTGCACGTGCTTCAAAATGAACGGCTTGGAGCTTAGGTCGTTGCATTCTATTAGTTCACCGCTTGATGGCACTACATTCTACACATTGTACCTTTAAACTTGATAAATTGCACACAAGTAAACACTTTGCTCCTGTGTGTCATCGCTATGGTCTTGTGTAGACTGCAATAAAGGAAATTAGTCAAGATTTATTTGGGGGGGGATGAGACCAAGATTCATCATTTCAAAGTATTTTGCCACAATGTAGCCTAAAACATGTGGCAGCATCGCCCTTTGAGGCTATTTTTCCTCGGCTGGAAGTGGGTCCTATGACAAGTTGGAGCAAATTCTCAACAATTCTAAATGCCAATCTAAGTTAGCGCAAAATCTTCATGCTTCTTTTTGGAGGCAAAAATGCCAGGAAAAGCTTCCAAAAATATCTGAGATGGACTTGGGCTTCGTAATAGGTCATTTAAATGGCGGCAGGTGTGTGCTGACTCCCATTGAACATGAGCTTGAATGTGATTGGGCCATTAAAGTTAATAAAGAAGGTGTGCAGATTTATACAACCACCTTATTTCAGTGGGGGAGGGGGGGTTACCTCCCTCTTGAAAGATCCCCCCCTCCAATTGAGTTGTACAAATTGTATGTCACAAAAATGGTGGAAAAAATATTGAATTGTTGGCCTCTCTCAATCCGGCAAGGAATATGGCTGTTAAGTACAAGCGTTCAGGTTAACTGTTGTTTTACGAGTATGCTTGCCAGGTACTTTCAAGGTGCCCTCGAGCAAGGCACCTCCCCCACCGCACAACTCAAGTGGTGCAGCACTGCTTTGTGAAACTTTTCACATCCCACCTTGTGTGCTTTGCATGTATTGTGTGCAGCACAAAAATGTACAGCACAGTATAAGTTGAACATAACGAGTATCATAAATAAACTTTTTAAAGAAACTCTGACTCCATTCTCTGTGGGAATTGATATTTACAGGAAAATTTCTTCACTTTATCACACCCACACTGCTGAGCTGTAGCTGACCTAAGACCTTTTTTTTTCCCACGCTGATCTCCCAAACCGCCTCGGCTCAGGGCAAAGCATTTGCAAAATGTGATAACGTTGTGTTTGTGGGTGTGAGGGTGTGCGCGTGCGCATGCACAACCACGATCCGCCCCTGCGGCACGACCTACCTGGTAGGCATGGTCGGTGCGGATGTGGCAGAGCGTGGAGGGAGCCGATTGGCTGAGCAGTGTCGGGGCGTGGCTGCACGTCCCGTTCATGTTGATGTCTGGGACGTCGGCGAGGAGCGGTGGGAAGATGGGTGGGGGGCCGGCCGTGGTAGGCGAGGTGGGCGTGAGGCTGGACAAGCCCTCCGTCAGGCTGTCCATGTTAACCTCGATCTCTGAGTAGTAGAAGTCCTCCTCTCCGTCGCTGTAGTCCGAGTCGCTGTTACGCCTGAAAGGAAGCCACGACAACTCACTGAAAATATTCTACTAACTCTGCTGATCAGTTCATTTTGGAATTCAACATGAATGGCTTTCACCTGAAATGATCTATCCATCCATTTTCTATCCTGTCTGTCCTCATTCGGGTTGAAGGTCATCTGAAGCCTATCGCAGCTGACTAGATTGTCAATATTGTGGTTGTATTTATCTCACTATAAAGTATCACAGTGAGTGGTGCTTCGATGACGGAAGTGGCTCACAAGATTAGGAAAAAATGAAACTTGAATCCAAACAAATTACCACATTGTTAAATGATGATGGTCATGATCATCTCCGCAAAGGCAAAATTTGTGATCAAACTCTGAATCGCAATCTTGTTTACAGATGTTTCTTGCCAGCAGGTGGCGGTAGAAGGCAACGTGTGGCAAAGGTCACGAGGCAAGTGGGGGAAGGTCACCAGCAACAATACACTGTACAACTAGTAACTACTGTATACATTTTGAGTCGCTAATGTACATTGGGGTACTGCAACTTCTCTAATGTGCTATATAAATCCAAGCTATGATTATTACTATTAGTGGTAGCGGTATTTACTCGACATATATACCGGATATACCCTGCGCATACATACAGTGGGGGAGAAATCACACAGGCCTGCGCTGTGAGTATCGAAATGAATCAGAGAAGGCAAAAGCGCTGTGGTCAGATGAAACCAAAGCTGAGCTATTTGGCATCGGCTCGACAGAACAAAAACAAACACGCGCGCACACACACACACACACACACACACACACACACACACACACACACACACACGCACGCACGCACGCACGCACGCACGCACACACACACACACACACACACACACAGACGAAAAAAATCTGAGTATGACCCCAAGAATTCCCACACATTTCCCCTTCCCCGCAGCACGGAGGGTAGAAAGATTATGCTTTGGGCTGTTATTATGCAAAGTGTACTGAGAAACTCCTCTGCGTTGAAGGTCCTATGAACACATGAATGGAAACCTCCTTTTCTCAAAAGGAAGACTGAGATGAGTGCAGAAGGATCGTCCAACATGACAATGCCCAGAAGCATCCTTCCACGGCAATAAATGACAGAGGTGTCTCAAGAAGGAACACATTAAGGGCAAGGAGTGGCCAAACAACCCGTGGAAGGAGTTGAAACTTTGAATTTCCAAATGGCAGCTAAGAAACTTGAAGAATTTCAAGAGTTTCGGTAAACGGGAGTTAGCCAAAATGCCGGCTGACCAAATAACAAGAGATCTCTGTTCACTGTGCTTGCCATCAGATGTTAGTCGTGACTTATGTTTCGCTTGGGAAGTAAATACTTATTTTAGTACAACATTTTCACACATTGTGTTCTTGGAGGAATTTTCGATAGCATGTATGTTGCTGCTCAGTCAATATTACTGGACAATACAAAGTGCCTCCCTAAGTACTGTATTTGTAGCTTATGTACAAAAGAAGCAATCGGCTTTTGCAATCTTAACCCACGAAACATGTACATTCGTGAAGACGAAAAGAAGCTTCGTCATGCACTGAATCTTTCCGGCCAAGTGGTTTTCACATGATTCAAACTTCTAGGAGCTTCATATGTTCTATGGCGCCATACAAAATCAAAGAAGATTGTAGGCTAAACAGTGAAAAGATGTCCATAAGTGTAAATATGGCCTAAATAAGAAGCACAACAACGTAAGTACAACGTTTATGAATATAAATCAGTATAAATTTAAAAAAGTCAAACTCTATTAAGGCTGCTCAAACCCAGAATACGGTGACTGGAAGAGCAAGACTCTCTCAAATGTGCCAGCTATGTCTGCAACCTTGCAACAAGCAAGCACAGATGCAATAACCCCGCACCGGCCGCAAAAAGACAATAAACACAAGCGCTAATCCTCCACAAGTTCTGCCAGAATTTTTGGCTCACGCACAGAGTGACTCTCTAATTCGTCAACTGACTTGAAGCTCACAACAAATGCGGACGACACCCAGCAAAGCAGCGCAAGGTCCAGACTGTTATGATGACGTATCGACACCTTGAATGAACAAATGATGTCACCGGCACAAAATGAGAATTGGGGCTTCATTTGGCACGCCTAATCTTGCTCGAGACACGCACTGCAGCCTCGGCACATCTACTAATATCATTTATCTAAAAACCAACTTTCACAAAACAGCCTGAAGCCTGCGGGCAATGATTCACAACAGTAGTTGTGTAGTAATGGCGTTCCCCAGAGAGTAGCCGGCCTGTAATGATACCCCGATGGTTAAGATTTGATTTGCAGCTCAATTTCTGGATTTTGTTAGGCATTTTTGGGGTTGAGGACAATATTGTAGTAGTAATAATCATAATAATAATTGATAACTGATTAACCAGCCAATTAATTTGAAAAATCATGAATAAAATACCCCATTTAACGCTTACAAAAACAAAGATATGAATTACGAGCAGAGCATCTGATTGTTTTACAATACTCTTTGTATTTACTTCATTTTAAAAAATGGACTGATAGATTTGCTTTTAGACTATACTGTAAATGTATGCTTTATGGGGCACATTCTCCCGTTCGCGCTTGGATCATTTCTTGACGTGCTTTTGTGAAGCACCTTCAGGGTATGGCGATTTTTCCCTCTTGTCCTGTGCCACACCCACGTGCGTAACCGGTGTGGCACAATGAAATCGGAGGATGCCTGCAAGTCCTGGATTATGGAGTCTTCCTGACACATGTCAATTCCATAGTGCTCCATTTGGAATATGTGTCAAACTCTCAATGTGGTATCAAATTAACTTGCGTATGGATCCTGAAGTTAGATAGCGATCGTCCCCAGCAATATGCGTGTCTCATCCCACGGGCTACTTTGAAACGAGCATGTGTATTTGCATTTCACATTTCATAAATGCAATTAAAGTAATTTAATCAGCGGACTGTACTCGGGACTGAATGTATATTTGGAGCTGGGACTGAATGTATATTTGGAGCTGAAACTCGGGTGTGCTGGCTGTTGTTTAAGCGTTGCTTAGCAACACTTCCTGCTGCACAGCCAGAGTGGCACTTCTATGAATTTCAAGACCTGCAGATGTCAACTAAAAAAAAAAAAAAAAAAGCCTGCAGCTGTTGTAAGCTACGCCTCCAGACAAACTCCCAAGCCATCAGCACCAATCAGCAGTCGCTGGGTCACGCGGCTGTCATGCATGCAGTGGAGCACGGAAGCAGATCATTGGATCAAAACGGGAAATATAATGTTTCAGTTTCACCTTGAAGAGGTGCCAGTCCTTAGTAGAACCTGAGTGCGAAGTAGGAAAGGTACTTAGGTTTCTAGGAGAATACGTGCAGCGCTAGATTTGAGAGGGGATGGCCTCATTTAAATGTCGCTCCATCCAGAGTACAACCATTTCATGAAGGTGCATAACTGACACAATTAAGTCGATGGGAGAAAATTCGCAGCCCCAAAAGTAAAACATTATTGAGGCAGCCCTTCGATGCCCTTCAACGTTAAATGACATTCTTCTATGTCCTCATTTTCTTTGCCATGAAGTGATGACATGTATGAAGCAAAACATAAGAACAGAGGGGCCTTTGTCATCTTTGACAAGAGTTGCATTTTAATTGACCAAGTACACAGACAGCGTTAAGCTGAAAATGGGAGCTATGTTGAGTCATTGTTCATTTCACAATATCATTCTAACCTCGCTTGTCATAAAGACCGAGAATCTATTTTCTTCCATGCCCCACTCATATGTAGTTTGGAGTGGTTTCGTTCAAGGTGTATTTACAGTGTGACTTGGCCACTGAACCGTGTCGCTGAAATGCTCCCGTACCGCAGACCTGAATGAAATCGCAGGATCTGCAATTTCAGGGTTATTAGTCTTGTGAGCCATGCTTTTTTTCTCTCCTTCGGTACGGTCTCACGTAATTTGACAGAACTAGCATTGGCAGTAGCCACAGTTTTGCTCACTCCGGTCAGATGAGTGTCACTAGAAACAGTAGTCACATGCCATGATGTTGGAAGAGGCTTGCCGCAGAAATGTATCGCAATGGTAGGCTTACCTTTTAAAAATTTGCTTAAAATATGAACTTTTATTAGGACTGGAGGCATAAACCCTGGGAGTTGGAAGGGACGTGTTTCAAAGGCGTCGCAGATTTGGGTCGAAAGAGTATCGCAGTGTTTGGTTGCAATAGCATCGTTACAAGCTTAGCATTCAGTCAGGTCAGAAATACTAAACACAGGAGAGGACCAACTCACCCCAGGTGGACGGTGCGGATGTGCCGCTGTATTCCTGAGGAAGTGCTGAGGACCTTTTCACAGTTCTTCCACAAGCACTTGAACATCACCTTCATGGAGTTCTGAAAGAGCCAGACATGGGAGTCAGAAGATTTGGGGCGCGCAACATGAAACTGACATGGCTCCTTTTGACACTGTTCATTTACGTCATGGGCATTCTTTGTGTTGGCTCGTTGGAGGGCCGCTGATGAGATTTCAGAGAGGGGATATGATCCATGACGCTCGCTCCCAGATTCCTCTGCGCACGCTTTAACTGGCAGCCTCAGCACAAAAGACTTTGAGGCATATTGAACGCTGCCATACAGGGGTTCTCGCTCTACGCCTTTTCGACCGCTATTAGAACTGCTGCAGCTGCTGAAACAGTCCTTATACATCCAACGATCAGAGAAATGGAGTGTTCACCTCTTTTAAACCATAGAAAACATGAAGAATAAATGCGCTTTCCTGACCGTACATCATGTCAGTTTATTTTCCAAGTGCAGGTGCCAGTGCCCGTTATCTGGACAAATTGCATTAGGGCTGCAGTTCTCAATATTTTTTGAGAGGAGAATATTCCATGGAGTGATCGGAAAAAAAATAGAGTTTGAATGATTAAAACAATAGCTTGCATGTGGGGTGCAGTTATTAATTTTGTTCACTTGGGGTCGCTAACCTCACCTTCTACTGTAGCATCTGTGACTTTTGAGTTTGTATGGCTTTTAAATGGTGGGGATAAGCGTGGTGAGTGACATGGGCATCGGCGATCGGGAGAGTCGAGTTGGCTGGCTGCTATCTAGCATTAGCCAGTCTGCGTGTTGCGCGACTCGGCGTGAGTGGTGGCCAATAAATCAATCAGAATCAATTTGTTTGTGCATTCTCTGCACTGCCAATTTGAAATAATGAATCCTGTTTCTGAATAAAGAGATGGATATTTGTTCAAGTGGATTAATCAATTTATTGAAAAAAATAACGGAACGATAAATCGATGATCAAAATAATCGGTAGTTGCAGCACTAATTGAGTGAAAGATGGGTCTCGATCTTTAGTCGATTAAAGGGCATTAGTGCCATTTCGATACAGGTCTCCTTGAAACCGCGAGGCTCACCGTGCATCCATGGGAAGAGGAGAATGGCTGCTTTATTATCTATTCATTTCCTCTTTTCCGTACGAGAAGCTGGCAGCTGTCCCGTGAGCAGGCACGGACCTGCCATGCCGCTCATGGAAGACGGTGGGTGTGTACTCTTGCTACCTTTCAACAGCCTCTGGAGAAGAACGGGTGAGAAGGAGGCGAGGCCAGTTTGTGTGTCGAGAGTTAACCCCTACACGGCTCTAACGTGTTACTGTCTGGTGCTGGAGAGCTTCTAACGGCACATTTAAATGATACTCATAAATACTTGGCAGCAAAGCTCTTCAGTCCAACAAATACAAATCGCCTAATTCCTCCGGTGTTTTTTTTTAATTGTGGTTACAAAAAGGTCGGCGACAGCGATGTTGAACAATCTTCTTAACTCTCTGCCAAGAACAGAAACTGAGACAGAGTGACACTTCCAGGTCTGACGTGGAAATACTTGTCAACACCGTTCTTCACAGCCTACACGTTTGGAAAAAGCAATTCCCTTGAAACACTTATCCAGTAGTTTGTGCATCCCAGCGCTCTTTACTGCTGCCCCGTTCCAATGAGTCGACTCCCGCAGCTTGAGCAGTCTGTGTACACTCCTCCAACACTGCGGTGCCAAAGGAACTATTAAGTTTCATTTTGCCACATGCTTTTATTTTGTGCCTCAATCCTTGTACGCCTCGAAATCCTGACTATCCTCATTTATATGCATCGCTTTAACCTTCTGTTGCTTCTGCTCGCACTCCACATCTGTGTACTTTCTCTCAAGCAGCACAGAAAAAACACGATGGCCGTCAAAGTCAAAATGTCAGAAATGTATATTCCTTAAAAAAACGTGAACAAGCAGGACCCATTGTCCGTGTCGCGTATTCGAAAACTGCATGATGATCACTTTTTTGTGGGCAGTTTTTTTTGGGGGGTGGTTCATAATCAGGGTGGTCAGAATTGAAAGGCCAAATACAATCTGCATATCGACAGGCCAGGAACACCACATACAGCCGGCCCACCTTTCGTTTGCGAGGTATGGGGTCCTCAAACATGAAGTGTGTGCTCTCCGCGACGTCCTCGCTGACATCATCTCTCTGCGACGGGAGCAGGAAGTTCTTGTTGGCGTCGTTGGACAGAGGCGGGGATGGCGTGGAGGGCACCGACTGGTCGCTGGCATCCCAGCTCCAGTTGCCGCTGGTGGAGCTGCTGTAGCTGGCTGACAGCGCCTCCTTCCAAGCCCGAATCGCCGGCTCTGGAACCGCAGCTGACAGCATACACATTGGGTTGACTGAAGCTTGCAAATGTCGTGATCTTGTCCCATTAGTTTTCATTTCGGAGCAGCCGTTCTCATGTGATGGTTCAGGACCCAGGAGCAGAACCGGTTACATCATGTGTGGGTCGCGGAGAGGTGGCAAAAAGAATTATAGGGGTCCTAGGTTTACGACTGTACGGGCATACGACGTTTTGAGGTTACAAACTATATGTGATGAACGAGTTTGCTCAGCGGCATGAGTTTATTTTATCCTATGCGCAAAATCAATATATATCGGTTTAATATAGCTAATAATTTAAGACCACGACATAATTTTAAAATGACAGAAATTTCCGCACCCATATGGAAACCCTGACAACTTCGACTGACCACACCATGCAAAGCAAAGTAAGAACTATTCCTGAAGAGTTACCCGCTAACCTTGTACACACAAAAATACATACAAGTTGTGGCATTTCATGGAAAAAAAAGCATAAAAGGCTTCCACCAAACCAACCTCTTTTGAATTTGCAATACTGTCTTAAAATATTTCTGTATTGTGTATTCATTTTAACAGAACTGTATTCTTCACAGTGCAAAGGTGGGAGCGGATTTTGGATGAAGACCAATTACTTTGCTCCTGAAACATCTTTTAGCCTTCAATTAGTGCCTCAATATCAGCTGTCAAATCCTGAGTAGCAGTCAATTTTAGAATGTCAATTCAGTGGAAAATGCAAATTAAATGGTTGTCAGCGCAAAAAAAAGTTACTTTTATAGTTACAACAGTTACTTTTATTGAAAACTTGATGGTAATGTGTTCTTGGCCAAGATTTGAACATATCCAGCCCCTCACTGCCTCCAATCACCCCCCCCCACCTCTTTCTCTCTCTCTCTCTCCCTCGAAAACGGACTACAATGAGTAGACTACAATGAGTACAGTGATGCATGACCCAAGTGTCACAGACAGATATTTCTCCAAACTACGAAAAGCATGCAGCAGATGTCCCAGTTTGACCTTTGTTGCAACCCACTGCACACTTAGGTGCAACGCCGAAACAATGCTGCACTTGTGACTTTTGTTTATCAAGTTTAACTACACCCAAAAGTGTACTCTGCCGTGGGCAAATACCAGTTTCGAACATAACGCGTAATATAAAACATTGAAATCTATTTGTGTCCTGCTGGGATGATGTCGTCAATCAGTACACCTGCAAGTTGACTCATTGGGAGCAAAGAGCGTCGGGTAAGTTGAGCTTTAAAAAAAGGGGGCGGGCGGGGAGGGGAAGCTGGCAGGACTTTGACCGTCTGATGATGTTGTCATGGCAAAGGCAAGCACAAGCAAAATGGAGCTGCGGTGATAAGGTCGCGACGGAACAGTTGGCATGGCACATGACTGACTATTTGGTTTGTGAGGATGTGAGGAGACCCGGCTGCGGGTGCTGCCAGGCAGGTTTGCCCAAGCAGGTTAGGTCGTGGCGTTACCTGTTGGCGCGAAGGACGGGCAGATCACCAGCGGGGACGTGGACAGTGATGTCAGGACGGCAGCGGCCATCACCTCTTTATCAGCATGACCTGAGGGCTTCCTGCACAACACACACACACACACACACACACACACACACACACACACACACACACACACACACACACACACACACACACACACACACACGGAGGCCAACAAGGTTTAAGGTGCCGTTCCAACTTTCTTGATACAACTGCTTATTCGATTAAGGAAGCTCAGGCCAACACCAGAGACCAACACAACTCCAAACAAACAACAGCCTGAGTACAAACCGATATGAAATTCTGAGAGAAAGAGACGCAAGCACACAACCTCCCACCCATTCTTGTCTTCCAGCTCAGTTACGTGCATGAGAGCTTGAACTGTACACTGCCCGCTTGGACAAACACAAACAAACTTTATACTCCTAAAGTTATATGCGTGCTCAGAGTACAACTACAACTATTCAACTCACTTCCTGTTGTCCTTGAAAGCAAAATATGGGGGAAGATATATTTAAGGATGGGCCAAGAATTCCTCAAAACACACACACACGCACGCACACACACACGCACGCACGCACGCACACACGCGCGCGCGCGCGCGCACACACATTGTGCCTGCTGTCCTTCCTCCCAAGCAGTGGAGAGTGAAAAACACATTGAGATTCATTTCCAGATCAACAGACCTCATTTAAAAAAAAAAAAATTAAAAAAAAGGAGCTGCTGTTCGCCGGCTTGATCCTATTAATCAGGCTCCTTTGCAGACGGTCGCGATCCTGGCGCATCGCTGCCCACATCGCTACAAGCGTTGCTGTCGATTTCATCATTCGACTTTGTTTATCGTCAACCAAAGCTTGCCTTTCGCTGGGAAAAAAACAAGCGAGCTAATGTGCACCTAATATTGTGCGGTGTTTTATTACATATTTACAACTCTTGGTCTGGCATACATATTACAGCTTATCATTCACCTTTCAAGGCTTGCTGCCTATGCACAAAGGGATCATTTTTCATGTTGCTGTACACAAACACACATCAGCACTTGTAATACGTGCCACAAAACTAGAGCGGAATGTTCCTATTAATTTTTGTTATTATTACAGAACGTATGTCAACAATGTAGTACGGTGAGGAGTGGAATAAAGTAGAGTGTGCAGGAAGGCTGAGCATATGCATATGTTCTTCTATTTGATGAGGTATTATTACCCTTTTACTCTTTCTTTAGCCTTGGTAAAGACTTTCAAAGGAGCCCGTTTGGCTGTGCGCACTTTATCTCGGCCAGTCACGGTGTATCATCCTCAAATGCAGGACTCTCAGATAAGGATTTGAAAAAAAAAAAAAAAAAAACCCTTGACTTGCTTTTACCACTGGTACCATAAAGCCCTGCGGGTGAAATGAGGTAATGTAGTGACATCTGAAACCCAGTGGTGTTGATAGCCGACAGCTGCCCGCCCCCCATACGTGCCCTCCATTAATAGCACATTTCTCTCAGTTCCCATCTTACTGCTTCAACGGCGTGGTATTATGTAATTTCCTGCGTCCTTTCGCCGCTCCCTTTCTTGCTCTGTATGTGTGGTGTGGTAATGACAAACAGTAGGTAGACCACCTCAGCTCTCCCACACACACACACACACACACACACTCCCAGAAGTGTTTGTCAAGTGAGGTGCAGAACCCGGGTCTCAAAGGGCTCAATAGCCACGATGTGGTTCACACTCGACACGTATGCATATTAATCATCCGGATTTGAACGTAAACGGCCGCCACACAGAAGCACAGTGGCAGGCCAGAATCTGCACATGTTCTGCAGCTTTAAGAGATCCATGACCCGCCCCCAGACTTCTCTACTCTGCAACCAGAGCAAACTGGTTTGAGGCATTCTTTCAGCCAAGCCCGAAGTTGTGGCCCTGACTCACTACGAGTCTCTGTGCACACAAAAACGTCACTACGGGCTCCACAAACACGAACACAAGCACATGGGCCATAAATCGAGCAAGCGTACGTGCACAAGACTGAGCGCAAAGCCGCCGGTGAAACTTGTCTGTTCTGTTTTTTTGTTAAGTTTCAAAAACTTTTAAAACCCTGATGGTCCCTGATGGTGAGAAGTCACGATGAGATGAGTCGAGATTGAGAATGTGCACACGAGGGACAAACAATTGTGTATGAACAAGGAGAGCAACTAATACAGTGGTGAATGTGAGCCAGAGCAGAGGAGGGTAACGCACGTGCAAACGCGCACACATTCACTCGCGACAGAGGCAAAAACAACCCGGTCTGAACATGAGATAAAGAGATAACAAGATTAGTCGTGTCCTGTTTCAGGGCATGGCCTTGTTCTGTGTACCAAGCGGGGCCAAGCGAGGACACGCGTTTGATTTACATGGCCTGTATTATTTTTTTCCCCTCTACTTTTTCTTTACGCGACGGAGAACATTTTGACGTATTGACTGTGGAATGCAACACACTGCACTTTCCCAGCCTTCAAAAATGTATATCAGGACCTTGTGTTGTTTCTCAAAGTCTCGTTTGAACTGCAGCTGGCATGGAAAAGTTGTGTGACTAATACTACTGACAGCCCTGCATGCTTGCGGTGTGTGTATTTCAGTGGAGCAGAATAGAGGAAAACACACGCACGCGCACACGCTTATGAGGCAAATCCGGGGTAATTCAAACATTTTTAACACACACATATATTCCCAAAACCACTCCCCAATTTCCTGACATTGAGTTTTTCTCCTTCTGTTTCCTGGAAGAGTTTTGATTCTCGGCTTAAATCTCATCAAATGGGTTATGTGATGCGAGTACGAGATCGCCGCAGCCATCAAACCAACGCAGACTTTTATGTTTACTCCAAGAGACTTAGATAGCATCAGGGAAGTTTGTAATTGACTTTCCTTGCAGTGACCTCTTGACGATGTGAAATTAAAACCCGATGGGATCAGACGACTGGCATAGAGCAACCTTGCAGTAAGTCTGTGTGTATCTTCTTCTGAGCGGATGAGGAAACTTCATTTTGGACCGGGGTACGTCTTTATTTAGCGTCCAAACAGAGGCCGTCAACAAAGTTGCACTTGGTGTACACTGGACGTCTGCGAGTATATTTAGAGCCGAGGGTGTTAATAGAGGGAAGCAGCATTTAGGGCAGGTATTACACATGATGAAATGACAACATGAAAGCCGCTACCGTGCCCTACATTTGCTGCGAATAAACCTGCCGCGTGGTTTACTGTGCTGCGGTGAAGCTGTCAATTTTACAAGACAAAATGCGCTTTATGAGGCTGGCCCCCTTCATTATGTGGGAGTGTTTTTGGCGTGTCAAAGATTGGTTGATGATTGAGACTTTTCACATCTTTTGTCATTTTACCATTCCGCCCAATCTTACTCACATGCACCTAATTCGAAAAAGTGCATTCTTTTCTTTCAAGGAAGTGCAACATTTCGGAACAACGTGACTCATTTTGGGCATGACTGTGACATTTTAGGGCTGCAGCTGTCAAATGTCAGCTATCAAACTCGTTTTGGTTTAAATGAATCATCACAGCATTCCTAACAAAATGATTTCGATAAATTCATCAGTTAATGCTTTCTTACGTGATTTTTTTTTGTCTTTAACATTCCCCTCTATTGTAATGTTACTACAAATACCAAAGAAAAAAGTATTGTGAAATCGTCAAACGTTCTGCCCGTGATTCACATTTTTGTGGTGAGCATGACAAAAAAAATTAATTCATGATATCATTTCGAAAGGAATTGGCCAATGAATCCGGTATCTGAATGTTTTTCTGTCGAACAGCAGACACTTAATCCATATTGGCCGGGCTCGACATTTTCATACGTCGCTGTTGCTCTAAGGCACTTGGCAGAGAACATGATGCGCACGCCAGATCTCTCCAGGGAGAGACTGTACCGAGTGGTGCTACAGTATGGTGTGTCTGCGAGGGTGTTTCGTAAGCCCCCCCACCACATCGGTCTGGCATTACTGAGGTCTTTTGCTGTTGTTGGGGAAAAGGCAGGCCCTTCGCTCTATATTTAACACCACACCTCTGCTCGTGTTACCAGCCTCACAGAAATGCCTGGGACCTGCTGGATTTATGGCTTATTGTATTGTAGTTTAAGCCCACTTAACTTTGAATTCAGGCCAACTGCAACGCAACCGGCGCGTAGACCTCAAGGTTAGATGGTTATAACGTTCTTCGGATGGGCATGTATATGTATATGTGTGTGTGTGTAGATATGTATAACTACACACACACACACACACACACACACACACACACACACACACACACACACACACACACATAATGTGCACCTAATATTGTGCGGTGTTTTATTACATATTTACAACTCTTGGTCTGGCATACATATTACAGCTTATCATTCACCTTTCAAGGCTTGCTGCCTATGCACAAAGGGATCATTTTTCATGTTGCTGTACACAAACACACATCAGCACTTGTAATACGTGCCACAAAACTAGAGCGGAATGTTCCTATTAATTTTTGTTATTATTACAGAACGTATGTCAACAATGTAGTACGGTGAGGAGTGGAATAAAGTAGAGTGTGCAGGAAGGCTGAGCATATGCATATGTTCTTCTATTTGATGAGGTATTATTACCCTTTTACTCTTTCTTTAGCCTTGGTAAAGACTTTCAAAGGAGCCCGTTTGGCTGTGCGCACTTTATCTCGGCCAGTCACGGTGTATCATCCTCAAAGGCAGGACTCTCAGATAAGGATTTGAAAAAAAAAAAAAAAAAAAACCCTTGACTTGCTTTTACCACTGGTACCATAAAGCCCTGCGGGTGAAATGAGGTAATGTAGTGACATCTGAAACCCAGTGGTGTTGATAGCCGACAGCTGCCCGCCCCCCATACGTGCCCTCCATTAATAGCACATTTCTCTCAGTTCCCATCTTACTGCTTCAACGGCGTGGTATTATGTAATTTCCTGCGTCCTTTCGCCGCTCCCTTTCTTGCTCTGTATGTGTGGTGTGGTAATGACAAACAGTAGGTAGACCACCTCAGCTCTCCCTTGCCCTGCATTGCGTACCCCCCCCCCCGCCCCAGTTCATGACCGAT